CTTGGTGGGTTGTATCGGCGTGTAGGAGGGGGCTTGTCTCCAGGAAAAAATGCCATGTAGCTGGGGCTGGCTGCCTGGAGAGGGGGGACGGCCACCGGCACAGTGCGGATGAAGCACCAGAGCATGTTCCTGCCGTAACTGTCCTCAGATGCTTCCCAGCCACTGGTGGTAAAGCTAGTGTGCCCCAGGAGCTGGCCGATTTTGGGGGGCTGGAGTGGCCACAGCTGTGCAAAAGCAGGGCTGTGGGTGATGCAGCTAAAGGGCTGATCTCGCGGGAGGGCAGGGTCATCCTCACGGGCTTCTGGGAGGATTCGGAACGGTCTCTTAACGAAAGCCCAGTGCTGGAGGTGGGTACTGGTGCCTTTGCATCTAACGTTTCTGACATAACTTGACCCTTGCTGGGCTGCAGGGCAGTGTCTGGCTCTGCTCGGGACTCCCTTTCCCTCTCACTTAAAAGCGGAGGTGGCCAGAAGATGTGGACGTTGTAAGACCCATGCTGACCTCCTGGCAGTGCTGGAGCTGCGGTGGGAAGAGGCAGGTCTTGCTGCTTGGCTTCTTTAAAGCTTTGGTGCTAAGGACCTGGCTGTGCTCGCACTAGGTCTGTGTCTCTTCTGGGAGATGCAGCTGTGTAAGGACCCTAAAGCCACCGAGCAGCAGATGGGTTTGTCCTCGTCCCTCCCTCCTCCTCCTGCGTGGGAAGCTATGCTGGGATCCTCCCTCTGGAAGAGATGGTCTTGTCCCTACTGGCACAAAGCCTGTTTTCCATGGCTCTCCTCCATCACTGCCGGGTGTTTGGACTGGGGACATCCCCAGAGGGGGCAGGGACGCGGAAAGGAAAGCGTCTTCTGCAGGGCCGCCAGCAGCATCACCCCGCCGGGCTGTCCTCGGCGAGAGCTGCCCCACTGCCCGGTGTGTTCTCTGCGCGTGTCCAGTTGAGATCGGCGTCCTGGGTGAGACGGGGTTGCCTCTCGCCTGGCGTCTCGAGTGGCTGGTAGCAGAGTCTAAGCGTGAGCATAAGAACAAGGTATCCCTGGAGATCTGCTGATCTTCTCCCAGCTACTGCTGAAGATATAGTTTGGCCCAGGCAGTCCCTGATTTAGCCCTAGATGGTTTTTTTTTTTTGCCTTGTGGCTTTTCCAGCTGCTCTGTGGGGAGGCTGAATATCTACCTGGATCTGGTGCTCGGTGGCAAGGAGTTGAAGCAGGATAAATATATTCAAGCAGAAGCCTAGCCTGTCTTGCCATGTTGAGTGCAAGGGCTGGAAGCCTGGATTCATCAGCCATGGGTGGTCCTGGTGGCCTCCCAAAGTCTGCAGGAGACTTGGGCTGCAAAGGGGTGACTGGAGAGTTCCAGTTCAGTTAATCTACTGGAAGATGCTTCTCCAGACCTTCATCTACAGTTTCCTCTTTTTCGGAGCAGGGGGGAGAAGGCTGGACCAGGGCTGCCCACAGTGCGCAAGATGCTCAGACTGGCAGGTTGCCTCCTGTTTTTTCTCCTGTGGGATAACCCAGATCTCCTTGGCTTTCTGATTGCTGCTGATCCCGTGTTTATACCTGGTATCAGAAGTGATCTCCCTCTGGCTTGCCTTCAAATGTGTCACTCTTGTCTCTCCCATCAACCTCACCCTCACTTTCTCCCTTACCCTTTTCTAGATCACTTATGGATGTGCTGAATTACAGGGATCTTGGACAACCAACCACTTGGTCTCATTGCTTCTAACAAGCTCTTCTGAGCAGGGACCTTCCTTGGTCTGTTTTGAGGCCCTTGGCTAAACCTGGTTTGAAGATGTTAGCTGGTGGTGTTTGGGATTGCCCAGAGCCCTTGGCGGGTGCTGTGGGTTGGCTGGGATCCCACTTCCAATGCTGGGTATGGTTACAGACTGGACCTGGAGGCCAAGGGAAGCTTTTGGCCTGCGAGAGGTCTCTTGCTCCCGTCCTTGGCAAGCAGCTTATGGGCCTGGCATTTGGAGCTTGTTACCTCTGACAAAGAGCTTTCCTGGGCACCTGCGTTGCTCTGTTCAGGCTGTTGCAAGGGCTGTGAGTAGCTGACTTCCCCTTTCCTGAGCGACCACGCGTCTCCCATTCTGTCATGCCTGTCGCAAGGACTTACTGAGCGACGCATCACGGGACCTTTTAGAGATCCAACAGGGATGTGGATTTCTGTCTGCTTGGAAGAAGCATTCGTTCTGGGGTCTGAGCACGCTCGGATCCTGAAATATTGAAAAGGGATGGTGCTTTCACATGGCTGAGGCACACATGTGCCACCAGACTCTGCACACTCCTTCCCTGCAAGAGATGGCCGTGCGTCTTCTGGGAGTGCATTGCAGGAGCTCCGTGTAGCTCGCGCTGAAGCGCAAGCACCAAGGTCTCGGAGGCAGCAGGCTGAGAGACAGTGCCATTGTGGGCTCTCTCTGGGCATGAGGTGGCCCTGGAGTGATGCATCAAATGAAGGGCTGGGTGGGGAGACCGTAGGACTGAGCCTTTGCATGGGAAGTGTTTCTGGAGTGCTCCAGGTAGCATCCTGCTTCCCTAGACAGGGCAAAGCAAAATCTGGGGTGCGTGGTGGGGCCATCTACACTGAGGGGCCGGGGAGGGGATGGGATGGATGATCGGTGGTTGTATTCTGCAGCTGTCTTGAGATACGCCAGGCTGGAGAAGGCTTCTGCGCACTGATTCGGAGTGGTAGCAGCCCTTTGTCTCGGCATGCCTGGAGAGCAAGAGGGGCAAAGGACCCCAAGACTTTCATGATCACTGTCCATCTTGGAGGGCTTTGGCTGCCCCCTGAGTTGATGTGAAGGGTATCTGCCCTGGCAGGGCTCTCTTGGGCACAGGAGCTCAAGGAGGTGTGTGCTTTCTCCTGCAACTAGGAGAAGCTTCCCTGCCTGGAGGAGTCTGAATCTGGCTGTCCCCAAAGAGTTACAGGGTGCAGAGGCTCTGCTGCACGCTCCTGTGTTTTTTCGGTGGCCGCTGTCTCCAGCCCAGGAGCAGGGTGAGCATGTGCCGCTCGCTTTGGTGGCAAAAGAGGCTTAACAAGGTGTCAGATACAACCTGCTCTGCCTGGGGAAGGGGAAACGGCTGAACAAAAACTAAAATGTGGGAGCAGAGTGCTTTCTGCCCTGCAAATGTAATGGGGTCACTCCATCTCCTAGCCCGCTTCCAGTCTGGGCTCTGGTTTAGGGCTCCCAGTTCTGCTGCATGTTTTGCAGCTCAAAAGCGTCTGGTGCCATTCTGAGCATCTGGGCGTCAGTGCTGTCCCATAACCTTCTCGTGGCTTGTTTGGGACTGGCTCAGTGAGTGGCATCCTTGTGCAATGAAAAGTGAGGAACACGGAGCTCCATCTCATTCCTCTAGTCTTCAGTCTTCCCTTGCCTATCTGCCAGTGCTGGCCGAGCTGTGCTTGCGGTCTCCTGGTCCTTGTTAATGATGACTAGCGTCTTGGTGACCTGTGTTGTACATAACTTCCCTTTCCAGCTCTGTGCTGACTTACAAGAAGTCTTGGCAGCTTCATCCTGCTGCTGCTTATGGAAATAGGCTGCCAGCCAACATCTACTGTAGGGAGAAGGTGGCCGTGAGGAGGCTGGTCCTCCCAGGCCATGAGCCTTCAGCACTGTTTCTTCTTCCTGGCCACTCATGTGAACTGTTATAGATAACTTCACTTGGCCATTCATGTGAACTATTATAGGTAACTTCAACAGCTATCTGTTGAAATCTTCCTCTGGTACTGTATTTTTTTCTTATACATGCTGAGTGCATTTGGTCTTGGTACCTGTCTTCTGCAGCTTGGGAAGAGCAGCAGCCTACATGGACTTGGTGCAGCACAGTTGGCTTTTGGCTAGGCACAATAGAACAAACACTGTAAGAGCTGGTTTGGGAGCAACTTCTGAAGGATCTGATGTGTGTTGGTGAAGGAGCTGGGACGGACCCAAAAATCATCTTCCCAGTGATGTTCTGGGGCTTTTGTAGAAGTCAAAAGATGCAAGTATAGCAGTGAGGTTTGTCTTTTTTTTTCAAAATTGAGGGTTGTCTTTGAATCAGTGGCTGAAGTAAAGTGATGGTAAAGGAAGTAAAGTAAGATGTAGTGTGTGATCTAGAAAGTAGTGTGTAGCTCTAGAAAGAGCTAGAGAGGCAACTGGGGTTTATACTGGTCTCTTCTGGACCTTTGGTATGTGTCAAACTGTTTTTTGGCAGTGTATGGTCTTCTAGCAATCTTATCAGGTTTTAGTCATCAAGATCAAGCCAGACTAGTCTGCTAGAGACTGAATTTTTGTAAAAGTCTAAATCCTTTGTGGCAGGGAAGGAGACTGGGTCTATTTTATCCCGGACAATGCTCCTCTAATGTGGGGAAGGGTTAGTGCCTGCAAGGCCACCTTTGGTCCAAAGTGTCCTACACTTATTGCACCAGGCTTCTGAACTGTGCTCTGTACTCCCACTGTGGTACTAAGCATCTCCTTTCAGTAGACCTCTGTTGACCTTTCTCCTAGGTACGGACGCTGTTTGTCAGTGGCCTTCCTGTGGATATCAAGCCCAGAGAGCTCTACTTACTCTTCCGACCATTCAAGGTAAGAAGGTCTTCAAATTTTGTCTCTGGTGGGAAAGATGCTGTCTTGTGGCCAAGCTTGCAGCAAAGATCTCTTTTTGGGGTGGGGGGGAAGCAAGGATGAAGCGGAAGGTTGGCCTTCTGCGAAAGCTTGGGGAGCCTGGTTATGAAACCAGCATGGTATTCTATGGCTTGTGCGCAGCTGGGTAACCTCCCCTGGAGCCTGTTGTTGAAATGATGCTGTCTCCAAGCTTGATGAAGGCTGCCTGGTCAGCCCTGCTGCCCAACTGGACCAGCCCTTCCTTGAGGATGTGTCCTTCCACCACATAGGCTGTCCTTGGGGGAAGTGGGGTTCCCTTGTCTGCACTCTTTTAGCACAGGGTGCTCTGTGGTCTCTGGGCACTAGCCAGGCAGGGTAGTAGCTTGACAAAGAGCTAGAAAATGGGGTTCCTTCCCAAAGGGCCAGAATGGACTAGCTAAGATACCTGCTCTGCCCTTAGTCTAATCTCAGTTGTCTTTTTTTGGTGGGAAAGAGGAGAAGTGTTAGTGTACCTACTCCTGCTGCAAACCCTGCCTTGTGAAGGGTTTGGTGCTACAGGAACTCCTGGAGCTGTCGCATCATGTCTCGGTTGTAGTTTGGCTCCTTCAGGAACCTGACACTGACTTGCTTTCTTCCCTTCTGCAGGGTTATGAAGGGTCACTGATCAAGCTAACATCAAAGCAGGTACCTTCTTCTTGCAGCTTGGGTATTTTTGGTTTTTGCTAGAAAACCAGACATGCTGGGAGGCGGGGGCAGATACCATTTCACTGTGTAAAGCATTGTCTGTGTTTAGCACCTCATATACAGCTGGGTTCTGCTCACCTCTGCTGACCTGGTGGCACCCCCAGCTCTCAGCATCTGCTGAACGGCTCCATACCTTCTCTTGCTGCCCAAGGGCATATGGGCTGGGTGAGACCTGATGCTTCAGCCTCAAACCCTGTCCTGCCAGAAACCTTCCCCAATCCCATCCTAATCAAGGCCTTATGGGCAAGGTGTACCCTTGCTGGGGGCTACTAGGGTGAGCAGTGTCCCCACGTGTAGGAATGCCAAAGCATTTTGGTGTGGTGGGAGCAGATGCAGAGCAGGAATCTTGGGCTGATGACCTAAGACCCTTCAAGCTCTGCAGCTTTAGATGGCCTCTTCTCCTTGCTGCCAGCTGTCTGGGGCAGAGGGGGTGGCAGGGTAGTCTGAGCAGCTGGAAGAGGCTTCCAAACTGAAATCAGCATTATTTCTTTTAGCCAGTTGGTTTTGTGACCTTTGACAGCCGGGCTGGTGCTGAAGCAGCAAAGAATGCCTTGAATGTGAGTACCTGATGTGCCGGGAGGCCCTGGGGAGGGCTGGGCCCCATGCGCCCTGCTGGAGCTAGACCTGGAGCTTTGGGCTTGGCTTGACCGTAGCATAGGAGGGGTCAGGGTGTCTCAGCTGTGAACTTTGAGTAGGGAAGATAAACGGTCCTGCAGCATCCCACCAGGGAAGCAGGAGAGCTGTTTAAGGCTACTTTTCTCGAGTTGGCATGTACCTCCTTACTCAACAGCTGGCTTCTGATAACAGGATCCAGGCTGTGAATCCTGTTCCTTATCCATTAAGTGCTGTACGGGGAAGAGTTGTGGACTGAGAGGCCCCCCCGCACCTTGTTCAAATGAGCATAGATTACCTATGATTGTTGATGTGTGGCTAGAGCTGCTCTTCAAAGAGCTTTTCCTCCTGCTGTCTGTGCTGAGCACCAAGGTGGGGCCTCATCCTAGCTTGACTGCTTGACTTGAGCTTGGCTTGGAGTACCTGAAGTGGGTGGATCTCCTCTGAAGATCTGATGAACCAACCCTGAGGAAACAGATGAGAAGAGAGGTGTTGGGGGCATAGGTGGTTCCCAGGCCTATACAGGCATAGGGTAATACCCATTTGATGCTCTTTAATGCTTTAACGAGGCAGGCGGAGCTCAACTTGTGTTCAGCATCAGCTTTTTGAGGCTCTAGGTGGAGCTCATCAGGGTATGTGGGTTGTGAAGCAGGCTTGTTGTCAAGCTGGTCTGTCAGGTGGCCGCAGGACTTGCTTGGTGCTAGTGGCCTCGTTAAAGCCTCACTTACCAAATGCCCTGATGAAAAGCGTGTGGCAGTTCAGCAGAGCAGGTCCTTGTCCTGGACTCTGGCAGCCAGAAGGTACTTCCTTCAGAAAGGAAGGAAACCAGCCTTCCCATGCTGCTGTTTCAATGGCAGGGCCAAAGCTGTCTGGTACGGGCTCTTTAGCACTTTCCCAGCACTTCCAAACTGCTGCAGCTCAAGAAAATGTCTTGAGGATGGTCAACATGGCAGGCACAGCCAGAATGATCCCCATCCCATGCGGGCCTGCAGAAGTTAGTTGGATCTAGGCAGTAAGCCATGCTGATCTAATTCTGCTCTGCTGGAGATCTTACCCCAGGCACTGGGGCATGTGCTGGTGTCTCTGCCCAGGCTGGCAGTAAGCTGTGGGAGCTCCAGTATAGATGGGGTTATCCCAGCTCTGGTGGACAGGTCTTTCCTGGCCAGTGTTGGTAGCTATCTTTACTATGCTGGTCGGTGAACTGCATGTAAGGAGCAAAAGAGTGTCCCTCACGTTGGAAGCAGTGGTCCTAAGCCAGCTAAAGATAGAAATACAAGCATGTGGGAGCTTGAGTGTTGCAGTGAGGTGACAAAAATCTGTGCATGTGACTGCGGCATGATGGCCTCGGTTCCCTGGTTGGGTTTTGCTCCGTGAATAGACAGAGGCTGTGCTTGGACTGGAAACATCACCTCTGAGAGATTCCTGTGCTTTCTTCTGTGACAGGGCATCCGCTTCGACCCAGAGAACCCCCAGACCTTGCGGCTAGAGTTTGCTAAAGCCAACACAAAGATGGCTAAGAGCAAGCTGATGGCCACACCAAACCCCACCAATATCCACCCTGCCTTGGGTGCACACTTCATTGCACGGGACCCCTGTGAGTATGCTGGGAGGGACTCTGAGGCCGTGGCTGGCCCAACCTGGGAGATGCCCAACCCTGGGAATGCTGCCAGGGTGGAAAGGAAACCATACCCACGTATGGTCTGGCTGAAACCTGCCTGGTGCGGGAAGGCCAGCATGTTAGGCTTGCAGGAGAAAAACAGGCATCTGATAAGGCTTCTGCCCAGCACTAGCAGTGTTGGGAGAACAGAGTTGGCTTTGGTAGCTCCAGCGACACCAGATGTCCCCTAAACCATCCCTAGGTGCCAAGCAGAAAGGACGAGTCCCGTGCCGTGCACCCTCAGCGTGGCCTGGTGGGGCAAGCAGCCCCACTGAGGCTGGCTGGGCAGCCTGAAACGTGGTGCCGAGAGCCCTGTCGTCTGTCCCGCCGTCCTGTGGCACCAGCCCTGTTGCTGTGTGCGTGAGCCAGCCTGCCCAAAGCCTGTGTGGGGCGCTGAGCAGTGATGCAGCGTGTTCCTGGACCCTCTCGGTGGGGCCGAGGGGCCAGAGGAGCAGCCGGTCACAGAGACGCTGCGGGGGTGCTGTATGCTACACCTCGCTGAGGCGGCAGCGCAAAGCCTTAGGTCGGGGTTGGGACTCCAGAGCCTGTCCCCGAAGCAGGCTGTTGGGGCCGGCTACTGAGATGCTGTCACCTTGTCTCCTCCCGTCTAGATGACCTGACTGGAGCGGCGCTCATTCCAGCGTCCCCCGAGGCGTGGGCTCCCTACCCACTGTACACCACAGAGCTAACCCCCGCCATCCCCCACGCTGCCTTCACGGACCCGGCGGCTGCCCCTGCGGGCAGAGGCCTT